TACCGCGTTAAAGGAATTCAAAACAACTTGTAACTGCCTCAACTTAATTATTTGCTCTTGTCCAGGCTCGTGACTTTCGCAGGGCATCCCCGGTATTGTCAGATTAACCCAAGAAAGTAATTTTAAAGAAAAAAAATACCTAAAAATACCTAGGCTAAGAAATACCTCAACGACCACATTTTGATTTACCTGCATTTGCTAGGGATTGAGGCTGAAGGAGGAGGCTTGGGTAAGACATTTGCAACATCGGACACGTGATGATCACATGCCTTCAGGTTCATCAAACTTTTAGCCACTGGAGTACGTACAAGGCCTCCAGACTGAGGATTGAGTTTCAGGCGATAAGGGCGTTCGTTTGATAGCTCTTGCCCTTTGAAGGTCCGGTAGTGAGTTTGATCATAGGAGGGGAGGGGCGTGGCATTACGCAATTCGGTGATAGGGGGTGGCGTGATGAATTCAAAGAAATTCTCAGACTTGGAAGGTGGCTCTGTGAGAAGAATCAATTAAAATTTATCATTAATTTAATCAATCAATCAATTATCCATTAATCAGTACATTAATCAGTGCATCAATCAATCAATCAATCAATCAAACAGCAATAATAAACTCGACTAGGCTATACACCCTTCAGTTTTAGGTACCTTGTGCACATTCAAAGTGACTAGATTTTTTCCATCTTTCCTTCTGCTTGCTATCAAGTGCTTTTCTTCTTTCAGTTGCGGTTTTCTGTCGCGCCAAGCGTTGCTGCTTTAGTCGATGAGCCCTGTATATTTCACAAAAGGAATCACCACATCGTATTTCAATCAAATAAGGCGAAAATTAAATTGAAAGTTTTCAGATCCAGTCGAACCATAAACAGGTTTTGTGAAGCACTAATATGGAAAGAATACGGCTGTTTATAGTAGATCGATTGGATACTAGTCCTTCGCATGTCACCACGAAGTCATCCAGTATGGCTTTTAGAGCCTCTCATTAATAAATAGAATTAAGAGTCAATCTTTGCAATTGGTAAACTCCCCAGCTCAGATGGTGGTCAGGTTGACAGAACAGGGATATCTTCTAGATGTTCTTTCAAACGTCCTAAATAAAATTAGCATAATTAACATTTCACTGCTATCCGTCACTCAACGCAATAGTGGTTGTTGAAAGTTCCCTTACCTCTCCAACACCTTGTTTTGCCAATTGCCGCTGTAATCGCTTGTATCCAGCATTGGTATATCTCTTGAGTCAGTTAACCTGAAAGACCCGGGCTTTGTTTTAAACAGAATATTAAATGGAGCTAGAACTTCACAGCGATCAAACACAAAAATAATAATAAAAATAAAATCAAATTCAACGAAAACCCGAAGACCTTTGTAGGATCCGAGGTGAAGCATGTTGTAAGCTGATGTATTTGGTGGACAACGACTATTGCAGTCCCTATGCACATGCCGCGTACAAAACTTAATTTTTCTGCTACTGTCTAAACTTTTGACTTGAAAGTGGAAGATTTGAGAAAAATGACACGTTTATAACAAGTCGTTTTGGCGTGAAATACACGCACGTGTGTTTGACCGCTGTAAAGGAAACTGGGAGTAACAGTAACAGGACTGAGTGAACTCGGTCTGTAATCAACTGATTAACAAAACTGTAGCGCTGAATCCATAACTAAAATTAACGGAAATATGACAACTAGCAATCAGCACCGATAATAATTAAATACATTGTTGCTATTAGCTTTAGGAAAAGATAAAAAGGAGAAAACGACGATATTAACGAAATTTAACTGATATTAACTTCGCACCTTTCACTTCCAAATGATGCACTCGAGACCACATCCTTCATGTAATCCTAGTTAAAAAATCAATATTTTTCACAGTAATTAGGCCCTTAATCAAGTCAGAGTAACTTGCTATATATATATGTGGTCGCTACAATGGCTAGGATCACCGATAAAAAATGTTCAGCAATGTTGCGATCAACTGGAAACAATTCTTCGGTGATGTTAATCGTGATGTGAATCGAGATGTTAATCGTGATGTTAATCGCTGGGAAACACCACTATCCACATGAAAACCACTCACAAGAGATTGTGGCGATCGAAACAAAGGGAAATATACCAGGATTCACTGCTTCGTTGCTTGATCCAATTCCTCTGGTGTTTCTTTTTGTGGGGGTTGGTTTTTGCAGTATTTATTTTGTAGCGACCGTGGCCATCTTAGGGAAACTACACAGCGATCTGAAGGGTGGTTCAATTTGTTCCGTTGCGATTATTTACATCATGAGTTATAATTAGCACGGATTAGGTTACGGAAACAGGTGCTCGAATTTTCATCTAAATAGCAATCGGTAAATACAAAAAATATATCGAGCCTGGAATTCGACAGTTGAATGATTTTCTGCCGCTGTCGGCAAACACCTTTAATTTACACTAACAAAAGTCATTGTGATTACCTCATCTGTCTCGTGTACACCAAGACTAGAGCACATGGCTTGATAAGCGTATATAAAGTCCTCTACAAGAAACACAACAAAGGCTGTGTCATCCACACGCACATTGTATTATACTCTTTTATCACTATTAATCAGTATCAGTATGAAAACTGGTGTGAACGGACCACAGCAAAAAGAAAATGAAGAGTTGCTTTCACCACAAAAGTCAAGAACTTCTACAATAACCACTATCCAGTTAATGACTGAAGTTTAGTACTAACCATCCTCATCAGACGACACGTGCTTCCACGTGTTCCCTCTAGCAGGTGGGGCACTCTTATGGTCGCGTGTTTGTGTTCGCTTCGGTGTTTTATTGCTGAACGTGTTATTTTCATACGGGAACATGGAGTATTCCTCTTGACTCGTTGCGTTACTGCGAATGGTGTCAGCGGTTTGTGGCCTCTTCAAAGACTCCTTGGTATTAAGGTACATCGTGTGACCTACGAATAGGGAGAGCAATATGAAACAACAGAATAAGATCATTGATGAAGCAATCTTTACGATCAGCATTGTAAAATGATAACAGCAATAACAGCTTTCGTGCACGTTGTCACGCTACTTTCTCAAAAATGGCGTGACTAGTTTGTCTAGTTCCTAGACTTTAATTTTTGTCGCGGTCAATCCCTTTTTGGTGAACTTGCGCGAGCGAGAAATTACCAACATGGAATCGAGATTAAGGCTTAGGAAGAAACAGGTTTTTATTGTTCTATCGAACTTTGATTTATTAGGCGATTGTGTGTGAAACTTGTGTGCAAGAGCATGGTGAGGAACGCGTCATAAGGAAATGTATTACCTTTTATCTTATCTGGTTCTTTCCTCGCAGCCTTCGATGTAGCCGTAGTTGGGGAACTCCTCGGTCGAGTGGGCTTTGGAGGGAATAGAATATTCTGGTCCGTTTTCTGTAGCGCTCTTATGCACCACCGCATCAGTGTACTCTCTGTTTTCTTCACACTTGGGGGCCTTAAGGAGCCAGGAGTTTCACGTCCCTCCGCAGGGGCTTGTAAATCCATCTTAACAATAAGCCGTGCAATATCATCGCCGTTGAGTTCAAAGTCATCCAGGTTCGCCTGATCTGTTCTTGAACTCGAATTCTCGATAGAACCATGTTTATATCCTGAACGTCCCTCCGCAGAGCGACTTCGATATTTTCCCGTTCTCTCAGCATTTTCCCGCCTACTCCTCGCTAGCGCAAATATAGTCAACGGAGAAACACCCGTAGTGTTCTTGGATACTTTACTGAAGAGATCGTCGGGCCTGTTGTTATTGTAAACCGGTACTACTGCTTCCTTAAAGACCACGCCCGTATTGTGCGATCTTGAAGTTGGAGAGTCTCTACCAGACGTATAAAGATTAGGTAGTTGTTGTCGATTTGCACGCGCAGGCCGGATGTGGTCTGGAGTAAAGCTTACACTCTTTTGTCCCCGGTCGCTTCGTTTGCTGCGAAGAGAAGATGTTAAATCTTCTGCTGCTGCGAATGTAAATTCATCTTGTTCTTCGAATTCATCGTCATCCTCGAAGTCTTCAAGAATCTCAGCAGCATCCGGCACTTCATCTGCTGGCTTTTGTAAGACTTCTCCTGTGTCAGGATCAATGTACGTTACTAAAGGCACTTCATTGGGTTCGAGTGAATGGCGTTTTTCTGGCTTCTCCTCAGCCTCCTCGCTCTCTTCTCCTTGGCCTTCAGGTTGCTTAACTTGAACCTCCGCTGCATTTCCGTCTTCATTCTCAGCGGATGGATTTTTCCCGCTCGCTTGAGCCTTCGCTGCGCTTCCTTCAGCGGTTTTTTGAGGTGCCAGAGACGATGTTGTATCTCGCTGTCCAAGTGTGTCTACGAATAAAATTATACAAAACTTATCATACATTAGAGGGAAGACAGGTCGACTAGCGTATTGTCTTGATGTATAACAAAAACATCGCAGAAATGTTCGACAATAATAAATTCACATTCTAAGTTCGGAAATGAAGAAGGTATACTTAGTAACCTTTCGCTTTTTCCTTCTCAGGCGCCTTCTCCTCGTTCTTTGTTGAACGCGAAGATTCCAGCTCTTGAGGAATGGCACTAGTTCTAGGTTCTTGGCGACCAGCTGCAGTGTCTTGTCGTATAAGAGGCTTTTGTTCCCCTGAAGGCATATTAACAACATTTGGCCTTCTATACGAAGAATCATCTTCTTCGCTCTCTTGAGTCGTCTCCTTGTCCTGCTTATCTTCGTTCGTTGCTTCAATCTCGTTGTCAGCCTTCTTCTTCTCGTTTTCCTCTGCTTCCTTCGTTGCCTCTTCCTCTCCTTTTCCTTTAGGTTTCTTTGTTTTCTTTATCACGGCAGGTCGCGGGATCCGCCTTGGCTGAAGGTAAAAATGACGAATAATACGATGCGTAAGATGAATGAAAGCTTGGATCCAGCAAGTTGATAATGAACAGGTTCTTTCACTGGTAACCTCTGCTACTTGTACAAAGTAATCAGTAGCTGCAAAACCTCAGTGTTGTAAAGTATCCACGGCCAAGTTAAACCCGTGGCTATTTATCAACTAAATCAAAAGCGGTGGCGAGTTTGTAATGCTAACGTTTCGAACGATAGCCCTTTGACTTTGTCTAAACTAAGTGATAAGGTTCACTCAAACCTCAGCTTTACAAACTCACTACTGCAGTTAATTAACCTTTGTCACCTTAACATTCATAAATAGCTTATTGTCTGCTGCTTGCACGAGCCTCCCTACCTTAAATGTCTTTGGTTCCGGTTTTTCCACCACCGCTCTCCTGGCAACCGGGGCAGCATATCCGGGACCTCCATAACCAGACCGCAAGGACCTGGAATCGATAGTTATATTACCCATTCTCCCCTTTTCTCTTCGAAAGCTGGGAACGAAGGAAATTTTCTTTTTTGTTTCTTTTGTTGATTCGTTGCACTGGTCACAGGAGGGGTCAACACCTTGCTCTGGTTCTTCTTCTGTTCTTTCTTCACCTAAAGGAAAATTCAGAATCATGAAATGGTTCAAGGATGGTCATATTAAATATTTAATAGTGTCGACTGTCATCAAATGCCCAGAGCCGCCTTATGTCCCTCTCAGTCGGCGGGGCCCTGGCGCTAGGAAAATGTGGCTCTGGGACACATTATCTGATTGGCTAGATTGTTGGACTAATATGTTCGCTAATTCAACGCTGGTTTCCTTCCAAGCACGAGGAACGCACATGCCTCACATTTTTGGCATTTTTGGCAAATTATTGTAAGTTTGTTAATAGGCTGCAAACCTCGTCAGATTACGACTGTACGTTACTTGGAATTGTTAATGATTACGATTCATAAGACTTTATGAAAAGCCAGATCAAGACTGGTTACGACAGAAAGATTCACACTACCTTCATCCAAATCCTCGTCAGACTCTTCTCCCTAAAATTCAAGAAAAGCAAACAAACAAACAAAAAAGACCAGTTCACTATTATTAACTTGGTTGTTTTCCTAAAAGAGTTCGGTCCCTCTGTGTAAAGACCTGTCGACCCCCACCCCCTCCCCCTACTGCGCTGTCAAGTACCTTATTACATGAGATTTTCGCGACACGTTTACTTCGCGATTTTGAGCTCGAGGTGCGCACATTTCGTGACACTTAAATTCTGTGATTTTGCGAAAATGCTGTATTTTGAATCGCGAAGGTACAATAACGTCAAAATTATCAAAACCGCAACAACAGGACTATACGTCAACGGTGACAATTTGTGAAACACTTAATTTTCGCATCGTGTTATGCTCACGACACATTGTTCGCGTAACTTTAATTTCGCGATTTTTTTTTCAATCGGGAAATTAACGTGTCGCGAAAATTTCATGTAATAGGATACTTACAGTCGTGTTCCTTATTCCCTGTTGACATTAATTAAAAAGCGACTTCACAATATTGATTTTAACGGAGAGAAGACATATTACCCACGGGGAGAGTTGGCAATGTCGAGCCGAATCATAGGAATAAGCACGTTATCGTTGCTCTAAGTAGGTTTGGCTTTTACAGGACAGCAGACGTAAAACAAACGCAGCTGATTTCGAGGTATATAAAAATATAACAATAAAAACTTACCGGTGGAGGGGTAGGAGGTGGTGTTGGTTCCGGTGGTGGAGTTCTTGGCGGTGACGACACAGGCGAGTCGCCGAATTCGGGAAGTTCCCATAATTCCATCCTGGTTCTGCGTTCAGACAAGGCCACAGAACTAACCAGGGACAGTCTCCTGGGGGTAGAGGACGGGGAACAGTAGACCTCGGTCGGAGCAAGAGAAAGACTGTCCGACATGAAACTGAGTGACTGAAAATTCAACAAAAATTACTCTCGATGAGTTCCTTGTTTGGCATATTATGGTAGCCAGGATGTTAGGTCTTTTCAACTAACTTTGTAGGATCTCAAAGAAGCTTCCTCAAGAGTGGTACGTTTTTAGATCATCTTTTTCATTTGAAATCAATCAGTATTTCCCATTCTTAATTAACCACAGTTACACTGTTTAATTCTTTTTTTGATAATTGTATATCTTCATGACTTATTACTTTAAGGTTTCTTGTTATATAAAGAATGAATTTTGTTCAGCCCCACCCTCTCCCCCCTCCAAAAAAAAGAGTTATGTACGAGTTACCAACAGGCTTTCCACAGTCGCTTTATCGACTTTAATTATGCTGACAATTGCACTACATGAGTCATTCTAACATGCAAGGTGAATTTCTAGTAACAGAACTGACAAAAAAACGCCCAAAAAACCCGCAGTATTTCCAAATTTAAGCTGTATGATTATGAAAATCTTCTGCATGGAAACAACACTAACCTCCTCCTCTTCTTGTTGGTTTTGAGGTTCAAGATCCGGGGGAGGTCTTCCTTCCATAAACCAAGACGTTTTCAATTGCAAGTTTGGGAACGGTACCTGTAATGAAAATGGTGCTATCCCGATGAAAACGAATGGAATGGGATGAGAAGGAAATATCTAAATGGAAATGAGTGCTACTGCAGTAGAATGCGATTTCCCTTCGAAACAATATACATGTTATTGTAGTAGGGAAAGGAAAATTGTACGCACTGGACTACGGGATTCAAGCAGATCATGAACTACATGTATACTGAGTGGAAGTTATTTTTTACCAAGTAGTTCTCCATGTTGGTGGGGTCTGGTTGCAGAATCTTTTTGCTTTCAAATCTCACTGACGGGTCTTCGTAGATATCAGATTCTGAGAAAAAATAACAATCAAGAAAGACCGCTAAACACCTGTATACAACACAGCAAAAACAGACTGAAAGAATCGATAAAATATTCAGTACATAAGAACGTGTGCGCATGATTTGTAAATATCGTGAACAAGGAACTCGTTTTTGTTACCTGTCTCAAAAGCTTCGTCATCGAACGATTCACTTTTGACGTCAGTTGATAAACCATCCTTTATTGGATACACTATAAAAAAAATACGATAAAAAGAACACAAATAAAACTGTCCCCAAACACTTTGGGGGGAAAAAATCACTCTCCTAGTGTCTAAAAAGATATATATTGTTACAGAAAACTGCTTGTATGGATTCCAGGCAGTCAGGTGTGCGCCAACCATGGATCACGTGAATGGCAGGCAGGCATCACGTGCTAGGAGTGAGTTAGGTGTGCGCCAAGCACGAATCACGTCCATCGCAAGCGGGCATCACGTGCCAGGAAACAAGTATCGCAAAGGAAGAAAAGAGTAACAGTCAATGAGAAGCATGACGGTAAGGCACATCGCGTATAATCCGTGTAGAAGTCCTTTTTATATATGCGTCGTGTCACCATGACAACAGTGGTGCGTCGGTTAAAAAGCTTTGAATGCGAACACTAGGTCGTTTAAAATCCATCTACTTACCTTTTTCACTTGGTATTATAAAGATGTGCTGTTTAAATCCGATTAAAATATCCCCTGAAAACAGACAGGAGAACATCAATGACGATTCGTAAACNAACCTCAGTGTTGTAAAGTATCCACGGCCAAGTTAAACCCGTGGCTATTTATCAACTAAATCAAAAGCGGTGGCGAGTTTGTAATGCTAACGTTTCGAACGATAGCCCTTTGACTTTGTCTAAACTAAGTGATAAGGTTCACTCAAACCTCAGCTTTACAAACTCACTACTGCAGTTAATTAACCTTTGTCACCTTAACATTCATAAATAGCTTATTGTCTGCTGCTTGCACGAGCCTCCCTACCTTAAATGTCTTTGGTTCCGGTTTTTCCACCACCGCTCTCCTGGCAACCGGGGCAGCATATCCGGGACCTCCATAACCAGACCGCAAGGACCTGGAATCGATAGTTATATTACCCATTCTCCCCTTTTCTCTTCGAAAGCTGGGAACGAAGGAAATTTTCTTTTTTGTTTCTTTTGTTGATTCGTTGCACTGGTCACAGGAGGGGTCAACACCTTGCTCTGGTTCTTCTTCTGTTCTTTCTTCACCTAAAGGAAAATTCAGAATCATGAAATGGTTCAAGGATGGTCATATTAAATATTTAATAGTGTCGACTGTCATCAAATGCCCAGAGCCGCCTTATGTCCCTCTCAGTCGGCGGGGCCCTGGCGCTAGGAAAATGTGGCTCTGGGACACATTATCTGATTGGCTAGATTGTTGGACTAATATGTTCGCTAATTCAACGCTGGTTTCCTTCCAAGCACGAGGAACGCACATGCCTCACATTTTTGGCATTTTTGGCAAATTATTGTAAGTTTGTTAATAGGCTGCAAACCTCGTCAGATTACGACTGTACGTTACTTGGAATTGTTAATGATTACGATTCATAAGACTTTATGAAAAGCCAGATCAAGACTGGTTACGACAGAAAGATTCACACTACCTTCATCCAAATCCTCGTCAGACTCTTCTCCCTAAAATTCAAGAAAAGCAAACAAACAAACAAAAAAGACCAGTTCACTATTATTAACTTGGTTGTTTTCCTAAAAGAGTTCGGTCCCTCTGTGTAAAGACCTGTCGACCCCCACCCCCTCCCCCTACTGCGCTGTCAAGTACCTTATTACATGAGATTTTCGCGACACGTTTACTTCGCGATTTTGAGCTCGAGGTGCGCACATTTCGTGACACTTAAATTCTGTGATTTTGCGAAAATGCTGTATTTTGAATCGCGAAGGTACAATAACGTCAAAATTATCAAAACCGCAACAACAGGACTATACGTCAACGGTGACAATTTGTGAAACACTTAATTTTCGCATCGTGTTATGCTCACGACACATTGTTCGCGTAACTTTAATTTCGCGATTTTTTTTTCAATCGGGAAATTAACGTGTCGCGAAAATTTCATGTAATAGGATACTTACAGTCGTGTTCCTTATTCCCTGTTGACATTAATTAAAAAGCGACTTCACAATATTGATTTTAACGGAGAGAAGACATATTACCCACGGGGAGAGTTGGCAATGTCGAGCCGAATCATAGGAATAAGCACGTTATCGTTGCTCTAAGTAGGTTTGGCTTTTACAGGACAGCAGACGTAAAACAAACGCAGCTGATTTCGAGGTATATAAAAATATAACAATAAAAACTTACCGGTGGAGGGGTAGGAGGTGGTGTTGGTTCCGGTGGTGGAGTTCTTGGCGGTGACGACACAGGCGAGTCGCCGAATTCGGGAAGTTCCCATAATTCCATCCTGGTTCTGCGTTCAGACAAGGCCACAGAACTAACCAGGGACAGTCTCCTGGGGGTAGAGGACGGGGAACAGTAGACCTCGGTCGGAGCAAGAGAAAGACTGTCCGACATGAAACTGAGTGACTGAAAATTCAACAAAAATTACTCTCGATGAGTTCCTTGTTTGGCATATTATGGTAGCCAGGATGTTAGGTCTTTTCAACTAACTTTGTAGGATCTCAAAGAAGCTTCCTCAAGAGTGGTACGTTTTTAGATCATCTTTTTCATTTGAAATCAATCAGTATTTCCCATTCTTAATTAACCACAGTTACACTGTTTAATTCTTTTTTTGATAATTGTATATCTTCATGACTTATTACTTTAAGGTTTCTTGTTATATAAAGAATGAATTTTGTTCAGCCCCACCCTCTCCCCCCTCCAAAAAAAAGAGTTATGTACGAGTTACCAACAGGCTTTCCACAGTCGCTTTATCGACTTTAATTATGCTGACAATTGCACTACATGAGTCATTCTAACATGCAAGGTGAATTTCTAGTAACAGAACTGACAAAAAAACGCCCAAAAAACCCGCAGTATTTCCAAATTTAAGCTGTATGATTATGAAAATCTTCTGCATGGAAACAACACTAACCTCCTCCTCTTCTTGTTGGTTTTGAGGTTCAAGATCCGGGGGAGGTCTTCCTTCCATAAACCAAGACGTTTTCAATTGCAAGTTTGGGAACGGTACCTGTAATGAAAATGGTGCTATCCCGATGAAAACGAATGGAATGGGATGAGAAGGAAATATCTAAATGGAAATGAGTGCTACTGCAGTAGAATGCGATTTCCCTTCGAAACAATATACATGTTATTGTAGTAGGGAAAGGAAAATTGTACGCACTGGACTACGGGATTCAAGCAGATCATGAACTACATGTATACTGAGTGGAAGTTATTTTTTACCAAGTAGTTCTCCATGTTGGTGGGGTCTGGTTGCAGAATCTTTTTGCTTTCAAATCTCACTGACGGGTCTTCGTAGATATCAGATTCTGAGAAAAAATAACAATCAAGAAAGACCGCTAAACACCTGTATACAACACAGCAAAAACAGACTGAAAGAATCGATAAAATATTCAGTACATAAGAACGTGTGCGCATGATTTGTAAATATCGTGAACAAGGAACTCGTTTTTGTTACCTGTCTCAAAAGCTTCGTCATCGAACGATTCACTTTTGACGTCAGTTGATAAACCATCCTTTATTGGATACACTATAAAAAAAATACGATAAAAAGAACACAAATAAAATCGTCTCCAAACACTTTGGGGGAAAAAAAATCACTCTCCTAGTGTCTAAAAAGATATATATTGTTACAGAAAACTGTTTGTATGGATTCCAGGCAGTCAGGTGTGCGCCAACCATGGATCACGTGAATGGCAGGCAGGCATCATGTGCTAGGAGTGAGTCAGGTGTGCGCCAAGCACGAATCACGTCCATCGCAGGCGGGCATCACGTGCCAGGAAACAAGTATCGCAAAGGAAGAAAAGAGTAACAGTCAATGAGACGCATGACGGTAAGGCACACCGCGTATAATCCGTGTAGAAGTCCTTTTTATATGCGTCGTGTCACCATGACAACAGTGGTACGTCGGTTAAAAAGCCTTGAATGCGAACACTAGGTCGTTTAAAATCCATATACTTACCTTTTTCACTTGGTATTATAAAGATATGCTGTTTAAATCCGATTAAAATATCCCCTGAAAACAGACGGGAGAACATCAATGACGATTCGTTAACAATCGATGTAGAAATGCATGTTATTCATAGTAACACTAACTGTACCTCGAGTGTTCAGGAAGGACGCCACAGTTAATGTTTCATTCATCATGATTTCACGGAGCAGGGTTTTATCTCGGTCCCAGATCTTAATTACGCCATCTCCACTGAAAACGAAAAAAACAAGGAGAGCAAGATTTACTGTATCGATGCACCTGATAATTGTGTTTTAACTGACTTTACTTGTTCATTATATCTATCTCACACACCACTGGTAGCCATGTAAACCTGACTGTTGTCGCCTGACCTTTATTGCAAAATCAAAGCTAATGCAAATAGCATTACGCTTAAGACTGGCAATAACAAAAAAATTTCAAGGCTTATACTTTATACTGAAATAAAAACTTAAAATCTTCAGCTGGGTCGGCAATGGCGGAAACAACAAAAACAACTGCGCGCCTCATAGGTCACATGAGCTATACCTATTGCCAGTGAAAAGTTGCTCTTAATTCTAGTTCGACTGAAATGATATATCAAATACTTGAGCTCGAAACAATGTTTTTCACCACATTTTGAAACGTCTCGAAGTTCGTCAAAAATACTCCGCCACGTAAACGAGTTGAAACGCTATCTCGTGTTTGTTCTGTTTTGTTCGTTTGTTTGTTTCGGGCTTTCTTTAATTTTAAAAATGCCTTAATAAAAGTTCATTTGCGAATAGTAAAATGACTTTTGATAAGCTAACGTGAATTATATGACGCCACAAAAAGCTCTTTTCTTTAAACCGGGATTTTAATTAATAAAAATGATTGACTGAATACATGTGAAATTAGCAATTTGTGTTACATTTGAAGTCATGACTGTCTCAGTCCTAATAGTTCTTAAGGTACTCCTTTACATCAGCCTTACTGGCTTCCCTGGGTTTCCTTGTCTTATACATTGACGTTTTGTCAGTTAATAAATTTAATATTTATAAATGGCAAAATAAAACAAACAAACAATAACATTGCATGCTCACTGTAAATTTCAGAAGTCCAATTTACCTGGCACTGCAGAATATCCCTAGATTGGAGTTTGAGTCCACACTGTTAACACATCTCTGATGATCCTTCGGACGAAAACGCTTGTTGCCTGTAGCTTTCTCCTCTGGCAAAACAGACAACAAAATATATTAATCATGAAGGGCATCACCGTGACATTGAACTTTGCAGAATAACTGATTACAAAAACACGTTACACAATTATAAGAGACTTTCTTGCAAGATGGCTTGCAAACACAATAATTTCAAATAACTGCTTCATTTTCAAACATTGACATGGTAGTTTATCATGTGTGATTCTGATTTACCTTCCTCTTCACAAAGTTCACAGTTGTCCAAAGATAGCGAATGAAGGTGTAAACATCCGCTCCCATGCCCACACAACAAAATATTGTTCTGCAAAAAGAAACGTAGTTCTTATACACTGAAGTATATCAACCCAAATATTACCAAAGAAACAAATTCCCTCCACCAGTGACAACTGCAGAAAAGGGAAATAAAGTTATTTCAAGGTCGGTTTAGTTTCTGAACTGACTGATCAAAGGAAAAGAGAAAAAAAGCGGAAAAACTATGCCTGTAAAAGCTTGCGAACATTGGACAGTCTGTTCTCAGACTATACTGCAAAAGCAGGTCATAAAAATTCTAAAAAAGGTGATTGCCATTTCCTAAATATTCCATCCTATAGGAAAACTAGTTTTCCAGTCTAAAGCAAAACCTCAATGAAAATGGGCGTTTTAATGGGACGTGGATACTTGCAATCCGCCTCTATCATAGCTTAACTTGACTTTCAGTATTCTGGTATCTTTTTGGCTTATTTTTACCATTTTATTAAAAACTAGCCATTACAATACGTTACCATTCTGGTGAAACAAGTCATGTCGGCATCACAGTCAATGCGCTTTAACAACTGTAGGAACGGCAACGACCAAATAAGGATAACAATCCCTGGATGCCTGCATTTTGTAACCAGAGTGTTGGTGTCTTGGTCGTGATACAGCTCAAGAACCTACAAAAATAAAAATGCAAAACAATCTATAGACAGTTACAAAATTTTAAAGACAGCTTGAAAGTTTGCTTGTGAGATTTCCTTTATCTGATTATTTATCTCTCTTTTTGGCAAACGTGGATTTTAAGACTGCGAGCAGCCTCTGTTTAGCTCGAGGATCTACGAGCCAGGGAAGAACTCAAAAGAATGAACGAGCAGAGACGAGTGGTCAACTTGCGTTCTTCCCTGCGGATTTTCGAGCAAAAGAGACTGTTCGCAGTCAAGTTGATTGTTATCACTTCTTTATTACGCTAGATTTAATGTGCAACTAGAAAAATGTATAGCGAAAAATAAACGACATACACGGCAAGTTAAGCATACTTCCTTCAACAATTCAACAAGAATTTTGTAGTCTTGAACTACAAAAGCTCAAGAATAAACTTTCAGAAATATCAAAATAACATCTTCACTCACAGCGTCTTTGTTGGCTTGAAGCTGGTGGTACTTTAGTCCTTGCCAAAACATGTGAAGAAAAAGCACACGTCCATCCTGAAAACAAATCCCGATCCGTTGTAAATAACACGCCAAGCACATTACTTACGTTGTGCTCAGATCAAAGAAGAGCTTCAATAGATGGGATGGACAAACGATCTACTCGAAATCTACTCGCTGGCCAATGCTCCCGGGACGTGTTCTTGAACAAGCCCTGGCAATGGAGACTATTTCGACGCTTAACTAGGCCTTCCTCATCAACCTGTCTGTAAAATTACGTCACTGTTTATTTCACTCAATAATTACAAACCTGAGTTCCCGCCATAAGTAGCTGAGTGGCGTCAGGGCACGCTTCACCTTCAACTGTCTTCATTATGATTGGGGAATACAATATCCCAAGACACGTGATCTTGACTTTCTCTTTACGAGCCAATAGTAACAACTCTCTACCGCTAGCTTCCCACGGAGGATAGAAACTGGGACCGATAGAGGACGACTCGCCAGTGACAGGGCTTGGTGATCTGATCAAGAAATAGAATCAGAAAAATTTATTTTACAGCCAGCTGATAAAAAAAAACGCCTGTTTCTTAGGCCCCATCCATACTACGCCGGAGGAATTTGAAAACGCAGCTTTATTTCTCCGGTTAGGCCTTTCGTCCACACTATTCCATTACGAAAACGCAGCTTTTCGAAAACGCTCTTCAAACCGAAGGAATTCGAAAACGCCGGCTTTGCGTTTTAGTGTGGGCAGAAAACATTTTGAGAACGGAGCTTTTCAAAAACGATGACGTCACGATAATCTTGATACTTCCTCGCCCGAGTTTTACTCAAACACAAATGTAAAATGACCGCTGATTGTTGCGTTTTTAGATTTCTCCGGTGTAGTGTGGACGGCAAACAATTGACGCATTTTCCCAGTGAAACCTCCGTTTTTCAAATTCATCCGACGTAGTGTGGACGAGGCCTTAATGTCAGGTTAACACATGTTTCGTACCTGTTACCCTCACTTGGCCAAGGACTGCTTGCTCTCGATTTCTGCAAAGCATCCTGGGAGTGCCGATAATGAATGTTTTCAATGAAGTCTAGTTTCCAGGACTCCACCCGTGTGGCTGGATTCGTCCTGGCAAAGGAAAACAAAAAATGTATTGGTTTAGACGAGACTACATGTAAGTAAACAGCCCCAAGGTTGTACAGAAAACTATTACCAGAAATGAGAAGAGAAGAAAAAACTGGTGTGCCCGCAGGGCTTGCTTTGGGATGAAAGTTAAGATAATAAAAGCCTAACCCACTACCCCCTTAGAACCATTAGACAAACTGTACCTGGTGTAATAGACCCAGATCTCTTGTTCATCTATCAGTAAGTACATCATGTTAAACTCCCTGTTGTATGCCACATCTTTCACCATGTTCAGAGGCGAGATGGGTGGTGGAGGGAGGACTGTGGAGAGGTTCTGGCCCTTCCGGGAAATTAACCGAACACTGGTAAAAAAAACAAACAAACAAACAAACAAAGACTAAGTGAAAAACAGCAACATTGCATTGAATGTACACACTTTGTTCATTTAACTCTCACATTGTGTTAAAGCATTGTTACAGACAAAGATGCTCGCAATGCTATTGATTAGCAATGGCGGAGTTTCTAATGAAAGCCATGAAGCTGCCAGGGGNAACAAAGACTGAGTGAAAAACAGCAACTTTGCATTGAATGTACACACTCTGTTCATTCAACTCTCACATTGTGTTAATGCTATTGATTGCCAATGGCGGAGTTTCTAATGAAAGCCATGAAGCTGCCAGGGGAATGGGGAATAGTCAAACTCGCCTTCAAGTCTCCACCATTAAAATTGTTCCACTGTCTGTACAAAATTCACAGACTTTGTTTGACAGAATTTTTCATCATCTGTTCAATCTAATGCATGTACATTCACCTGCTATCATTTCCCACTGCCATAACACGTGATGACTTTCCTCGACACGTGACCAGAGAAAGTGACGTCACTGAACAGCGTGATAAGGCCCAGAAGTCGCACAGATGGTTGAGTGAGAAAACTTCAATAACTCGGTTTGAACAGCAATAGATAAGCTTTGGCGACACAACGTTCATCCAATAAATTCCCTCAGAAAACACAGGTAGGCTAAAGCAAAGATCAAAATGCATCAAGTTAATAACCTTGTGGTAACCCATCAGAAAAACGGCTGCCCCACGTCATATCTGGAAAAATGAGTATAAGGAATCATTTTCTTCAAAGCGTGTGGGAAACTGCTATTCTCACTGGTCAGCCCTGCCTCAAGTTGCCTGGACAACAGTTTATGTATTTATTGGTTTGATCAGTACATTTTGTTAGTGTTTCATCAGACCTGTACATCTCTTCCATAAAGTCTAGTGAGTTCACTTTAATGATGCCGTCCATGGCAGCTGTTAAAACCAGTGCTGAATTCTCGGGGTGGAGCATAACCTTTGTTATGGCCTGAAAACAGTGAAAACAAATAAAACATTTGAAGCATTTTGATGTTATAAATGAAACCTGTGAACCTGCCGGCTTAGCATAGAAAGTGTCCTTTATAACGTCTGGCCTTGTGAAAAGGTCTATCAAAATACAATAGGTATTGTTTTGCAACCAAATTTACACTGTACCTTAGAATGTCCAGTGAATGTATGTACTCTCCCTCCACTCTTCGATCTGCTCCACACATTCACTGAAAGTCAACAACCAAGTCATTCAAATAAGCTGAAAAGATTATAGTCAAAAAATAAGCTATTTTTTGTCGCTTTTCGAGGTTAGAGTTCATCTTACTAACCCACTTAACGCCTCTCGATTCGCATGAGATACTTTTTCAAGTTTTCTGCATCTCGTTTCCCAAGTTGCCCTTCTGTTCTCTTTCAAAACATGTCTGGTTTCACGGGAGAAACTCTTCTCACAACGTATCACCAAACTCGGCAAACGGAACAATGTTTTGAACTTCTTGTTAAGTTATCTTCTTCTCCATAGAGAATAAGTTCTTTTCTCACATGAGCCATTGCGTTGTGTGTCTCATGAGCGTTATTTTACAACAACCAAGTTCCCTCTTAAACCGTAAGAAGCCTTTACGAAAGCCACTTACCGGAAACATGTTCAGTATGGAAAATAAAATATAAATTGAGGAGCTAAACTCTTACCATCACAATCAGTTCCTACAGTAACGAGAAAGTTGCAAGCTTTGGAAAAAACACATCCAGTGACAGGCCCTCTGTGCGCACTGACAAAATAAAACAAAAAAGAACAGTAGTTGTTGTCAGACCACTTCTTTGTTTTAAATTAATTAGTTTCAACCTTTGGTGCTGTTAACACTGTGATTGGCCAATAGCTATACTATTACCTTCAAATAAGATCTTTCTTCCCTCATGGACAACTTAACATTTCTACGTATAGAGCTAGTCAGTCTGACAGAGTCGACCCACTCAACACTCAGGAATACAAGGTACGGCTGCCATGTATCTCCACCCTAATACATAATATAACAAGTGTAAAAACTAGCAGCACTTACTCCATTATCTGGAAAAGATGATTTCCTTCCATGTCATAAGCTACCACATTCCGTTCAGACAAACAGTACAGACGCTGGCAAAAAAAAGATGGCATTTGTCACAAACTCATTGAATTTTGACTTCTCTTTTAAAATAATCACTTGGAAGTACAAACTGTTATCATGAGAGACATTTTGCAGATACTCATACAGAAAGAGATGGTGCAATATAATAGGTCTGCAATGCATGCATAGATGGAGATATACTTGTCTGACTAGTGCATCAGATCTGTAATAAGTTTATAATGATAGCTAACTGCCTCAGACGAGTGCATAGAAAGAGATAATTATCGAACATTGTAGGTGATATATATA